TGTCCCTTTTTTTTTTTTTGGGGGGGGGGGTGGTTCCATTCGAATGCGCTTACTCCAGCTGGTGGTACAATATCCGGAGGCGGTATCGCCTCTCTGATCCTCTAGTTTCTCTTAAGAATCTTTCCTAGATTGTCTATATGATTTATGGATAGTTGTAATACTGTATATGTGAAGGCCTTTGGCCTAAGAGATAATGAAGTTGCATTAATATATGTATTCATATTGCAGGTAGAGAGAAGGTTGTGTAATAGAAATTAACCCCCATAAATCAGCAGTCCTACATATAAGTCTATTGTGTCCATTAGATTGGTCAAAATTGATATTATCCCATTTTATGTTTTGAAACATTTTAATATATTTTGATAAATTTATTCAGTTAACAACTCAATTTTGTCATTATTTTTCAGATCACACTAAATGCCCCAGTTTGTCCAGTTATGGAGATAACCCCAAGCAAGCAGGTACTGCTTTGAAGCCATGTGTGGATACATATATAGCCCCACACATTCCAGAGGCCTCTTATCACAAGACAAGAGTATTTCTTGGGGCTACAGCTGGTATGCGATTATTAGAGTAAGTGTTTTTATAAATTATTTTTTAAAGAAAGACCTACATTTGGGTATTTATATATAATTTTAAGAACTATAATTTTGGTTTATTTTCTTTTTAGATGAACCAAGATATTTGGTTTTTATTTTACTATTTAACAAAAAATTAACTGAGCCATATATCCTTTTTTTTCATTAATATGTTTCATTTCATTTCTTTATAATTATTCATTTTTATATCAGGTCTTGTATTGCGTCTTTCCTGATTCTATATACCATTTTCCTGTGTTCTCAAAGATTTTAATGACAATGTATTTTATTTGACATGAAATGCCATAACATCATGTAGGTTATTTGAAAGCCACAAAGATGTATGTCCTGAAAGTGTGTCAAAAGCAAATTCCTTTTTATGCAAATGATTGAAATTACCATGAATACTTTGGGAAATTGTATATCATGTATGTAAATGTAAATAATGGCTTTTAACATAAAGGAAAATTAATAATAAACTTCAGGTTATCTATACCTTTTTCTATACAGACACTGTAAGTGTCTGTACATATTCTGATTGGTCAGTCTGTCCGCGTCATCGCTGTCGTGTCATTGTCGCTGTTGCTGTCACTGTCCAACACTACCCTCTACCAGGGCAGCAGTTTTTATTCTGTGGACATTTTTTGCTGAGGCGACCCTGTAACATTCGGCCAGATGGGAGCAATTAAATCTGCACGCACTCAGATGGCATTGTACCTGCTCTGCAGGAGCTCAGTGATGTGATTACAGCTTGTTACGCAACCTGCCTTGAGTTGTCTGTCTGCTAAGGGTCTTTTTTTTATTGTCACAGATGAACAATTAACTGTCTTGATTACTGTCAAGGGGACTTGTTAGGGACTTGCTAAGTGACAGTGCCTGAGTAGTTATGCAAACAATTACCAGCCATATAATCATCCTTGAGATTTCAGCACAGGGTGACAGTACAGAGATTAGCCATCTGTTTAACCAGAGACGTATCTCTTATTATCTAGTGAAAAATCAATCTGTGGCCCTGGTAGAGGGTAGTCCAACACATGACATTTGCTCCATAACTGCCAAACCATATTATTTGTTTTACTTTAAATTTACTAAGTGGGTTTGTTTGGTAAAGAGGCAAATTGCTTTGGAAAATTGGCGTGATCGGTTTACATTTACAGTAATTATTCTGCTTTTTTGCACAATTTTGATGTTTACCCTGTATTTTCCAAACCATATTTTTGTTTTACTTTAAATTTATACTGTAATTATCCTTTTTTTTTCACAATTTTACTGATGTTTACCCTATAACTACCCCACTATTTGTGCTTTACTTTAAATTTATGAAGTGGCTTTGTTTGGTAAAGAGGCAGGTTGCTTTGGAAAATTGGCATGATCAGTTTACATTTATGATAATTATTCTGTTTTTTTGCACAATTTTGTTAACCCTTGCCCCGTAACTTCCAAACCGTATCTTTGTTTTACTTAAAATTTACTGAGTGGCTTTGTTTGGTAAAGAGGCAGGTTGCTTTTGAATATCAGCATGATTGGTGTACATTTACAGTAATTATTTTGGTTTTTTTGCACAATTTTGGTGACAGTCGCCCCATAACTTCCAAATATTTTGTTTTACTTTAAATTTATTGATTGGCTTTGATTGGTAGAGGCAGATTGATTTCTAAAATCAGCATGATTGGTTTTCATTTAGGGTTATTATTGTGTTCACACATTACCATTTTCAGTGGCTTCTATATCACATGGAACTGAATCACTTGCTAGTTTTTCAATGCCCGTGTTACCTGTAGCACATAATGTAAGAGGGTTAGAGTCATGCTATTTTAAACCATTATGTAACTGTGCATCAAAATTGACCAAAACATTATTTTGTGCACTTTTTTCTGCATAATATCTGAACATATTTGTCAGCTTTGCTGCCTTGTTTCCTGTATGATGTCTGTATATTTGTCAGCTTTGCTGTTTAGTTTAGTTTATTTGCAGAAAAAATTTTACAGCTAACAAGTTAAAAAAGATTAAAAAAAGGTACCTATACTAAATCAAATGGCAAATAATCAGCCAAATCTGAATGTTTGGCAAATATATTGCCATAAAATTTTATATATTTGGACCTTATGGGCAGTTTACTTTCAGTGAGGTAGATCACAATGCCAGTGAGCAAATATTTCAGTCTGTGCGCAGTATGATAGCAGACTACCATTTTCTGCTGGAGAATCCCACCAAGCAAATACGTATCATATCTGGCAGGGAAGAGGGAACTTATGCATGGGTCACAGTCAACCATCTGAAGAATTCCTTCAGAGTGGTAAGTAATGATCATGTCAATAATTGACCTTGTTAAGTCATGCTGAACATGTCCATTGTCAAAACATAAACTAGAATCAACATAGCATTAAATGCCCTGCACAATCTTTGAGTATTAGACAGAAAATTTGCAGTCATGTAATTGCGTTCTGTAGGCCTTTTAGCATCAAGTCTTATATCTAGGTGATACAGCTGTACCCATATGTTTTGACAGATATACAACATAATAGCCTGTCTATTACATAAAAAAAGGTATCTTTTAAGGAGACCCTGCACCCCCCACCCCCTGTGAAAGGGAGTAAAATTTCTCTGTAGAAAAACTACATTCTAGAACCTTACAAAACACACCAGTATCGCTGTATCACTATAATACCACACTCAATGTGAAAAATCCTTTAGATTAGAACAATACTGTTCCAAGAAGAATAGTCATGCCTTACTTAATATTTTGTTTTTTTAAATCTGACTTGATCCAGAAATAAAGTTGGGACTGTAGTAGATTTTGGAAATTTATTTATTGAATTTAAATATGCTTTGAACCTGATAACAAACATTTCTCGTTTTAGAACAAAAACAGCAAATGGCAGGACTTGATGTCATTTTTTGATGGCAGCACCCAAGAAACATTAGGTGCTATGGATATGGGAGGAGCCTCAACACAGCTTAGCTTTGTTCCTGCCCATCCTGATCAGTTGCCTCGCAACTATACATCTGACATTGTCATTTATGGAGAAAAATATGATCTTTACTCTAATAGCTTCCTGTGTTATGGGAAAGTGGAAGCTGAGAGACAGATGAGGGCAGTACTTGTTGAGGTAATTAGAACTTTGTAAAATGGTAATATACACTTTAGAAAATTTGTGTTGATTTCATAATTATGTTTTGGCAGCAGAATAACAAAAAAAATTATATTCAGATTTTTTATCTACCAATGGCATAGAAAGGAGGGGAGGAGATAGATTTTCATAGGACATTTATAATACCTTTTTAGTTTTGAATTTTTTTGTGCAGGTTTTGAAGATAAATTAGTGTTTAGATGCAAGATAAAAGCATAACAATAATTGGATAGCCCACATATGTGTTTAAAACACAAAAATCATGTCTTCTGGCCTTATTTTTTAACATTTTCTAGGAAATGAATGGGACAATGGTACTGAACCCTTGTGGTCCACTTGGGAAGAGCACAACTTACAGTTATGCTGATGTTTTTGAGGCTCCCTGTACCAAGGGCCCACATGCTTTACGGGCTTGGGGAAGAGAGTCTACACTTAGTAAGTCTACCTGGAATAAGGTAAACATGAAAACATTTATACCATTTCTCAGTCTGCATAAGCATTTGATTGCAACTGTACAATGCTTATACATTATAAAGATATATGATTTAGCTTATTACATAACAAAGATATCTAATTTACTTTTGTGTAATTACGTGTAGAGTAGCATGTGTCGTAAACACAAAATATTCTTTTTTAACTAATAAATTATTTTTCACCTAGTTGACATTTAAGAAAATTGTCTGCTATTTTAAAGAATTGAATTTCTTTTATTGTTTTTCTTATTTCTCTTAGCCATTTAATGAGCTAAGCTCTAAATGCTCTCCACTTGAACAGAATAAAACAACATCCTATTTAGCACTAATAGTTCCATCATTGCCTTACAGAACACCACCTTCAGGTTTGTGGGCACCAGTAACAGTACAGCATGTGCAAGACAAGTGACTAAGCTGTTTAATTTTACAAGTTGTAGCTGGCCTCATCACTCCTGTTCTTTTAATGGAAAATACATTCCACACCTAAATGGACAGTATTTGGTAAGTCATATGCATCAAAAAGACTTGCTTTATCTTTTGATGCAGAATTTAACTAGCTGTCATCAAGTCTATTAGCTTTGTTAGTTATGTATTATTATAATCATAGGTTAAAGTAATATTTATGTACAACTGCACTCTAGTTTGTTATTTAAAAGTTGAAAAACATAAGAAAATCTCTTAATATCTTGACTTTCGCTTCATACATTTTGATGGCTTAAATTTATTCCTACTTTCCAGGCTTTTTCCACATTTTTCTATGTTGTGGACTTCTTAAACCTAACCAAGAACAATAAAGAAGGGACTTTCAGTCTTCCACAATTTGAGTATGCCATAAAAGACTTCTGCAGCAAGAACTGGACTCAGGTAATAGAGTATAGCTTAATGCATTTATATATTTATATTTTTTGTACTATTATTACTAAGCACCAACACAGACTACCAATATCCATTAAGTCAAAAATGTGTCAGGGTATTAAATGAAACTTCATTAAATAATGATGGATAATTTTAGAGAAATTTATGTTTTCAGTTAGGTGTATTTTTTACACCTTATATATTACAAATAAGTGTTCAATGTATAGAAACATTGATATCTGTACTGAAAATGGGATACATGTGGATAGATATTTTAGGACATTATCATGACAGGTTAAAACTGAACAACTGTTCTAAATGGTTTGTTTAATTATTGAAAAAAAAAAACACTGTTGTGAATGTTTTTTTTAAACTATGATTAAGTAATTATTTTCTAGATGAAAGATATCCCCATAGCCCCAGAATATGCAGACCAGTTGGAATTGTACTGTTTTGATGCTCACTATGTCCACACCATCCTGACCAAAGGATACAATTTCACTAAAGAAAACTGGCACACAATCTCATTCAAAGGAGATGTAAGTTTCACTCTCAAATAGTCAAATAGTTGTCCTTTTACCATTGGACCATTATCTTATTTGTAACGTTAAAAAAACATTTATTCCTTTGTGAGCTTGATATTAATCCGCGAAAGTGGGCTTTGAAGTCAAAGGCAAGTTGAACAGGAGTTTACAGTTACCATGATTATGTTCTTTAAGTTTTATTTTTTCTTTCCTACCACGTAGGTGAATGGTAAAACCATAGGATGGGCCTTAGGATTCATGCTAAATGCTACCAACAGCATCTCATCAGAGCCAAATACTCCTGCATTCTCTTTAGGTGTTTTCATTGCTCTGGTCATCCTCTTCATAATATTTCTAGCCATTGCCATTGGTTTTGCCTGTTTTGCCCATGAAACGAGGGGCTCTGGTAACCAGTATAAGAGGATGACAGAGTATGGTTCTGTATGATAAGTGAAACAATAATTTCAACTCACTACCAATTTTTCAATAATGAAAGTTCTGTGTAAGAAGGCATTTATGTGAAATACACCATCAGAAGAGTTAACATTGCAATTACTTTGACCAGTCGGTGCACAAGATGTTTAAATCAGGCTACAAAGGGACAGATTATAGGTAAAGGGGAGCTATCTACCAATCTGGTAAAAAACAGAGGTATAATTTCAGCTAGGAATGAATGTAAATTCTGTTAATTTATTCTTGGCCATTAAACTTGTAAATTTAGGAGAGGATATTTTGCTATGTAGTGTGTTCAAGGTTACTTTTTGCATGGAGTCTTACGTAAACATGCATATTTTAGTACCCCCAAAAAATGTTTTGATTGTTATCAAGTTCATATTGTAAGAAAAAATCTTCTGTTGGTTACAAAACTTACCAGTATTTTTTTCTGTTAAGTTCAATAGCTGCTGGCGCAATCTTCTGCAGTAAAGCACATTCTTGTAATTGCTGTCACTGTCAGACGTACTGTTTTTACACATTAAGACTGTTAAGCTTATAAGATTAGTTTAAGGTGCCTACAAATTTTTTTGACTAATCTGGAATAAAAAGATGTGGAATGATGCTGTAAATTGAATATGCTTTATAAATCACCAACTGTGCCCACATTTGTTTAATGGATGAATTTTAACCAATTACGAGTCACTGAAGTTTACCCCTTATAAAGCATAAAGGACAAAAACTGTATTAAAGGGGATATTTTCATACTTGATAAAATGTTTTTCACCTTTGTGCCAACTTGTAGTCCCAGACAGCTTTTTCCAAGTGATATGAAGGCCTTAATTTTGTACTCATAAATTAAATTGTCTATCGGCAGTTGCCACATACTTTTATTAAGCATGTGGATTTTTAGAAGTGGCGCACATTTGTATCCCACGTACCTACGTCTGTGTCATCCATTTTAATATTTAATTCATGTAACTTGGGCAAAGTTATTTTCATTACCAGTGAATGCAATCAGTTTTTATTTTGTCATCATACCATTTTGTGAGATTAGTGAGTGAACTGTGAAATAAATTATGTGAAAAAAGTATGTTATCTATTAATTTAATGCTGTTGACAATTAATTTAGCTGCCAAAAATCAAAATGACTTGCCACTGGAATACAAGAGATACTGATTGAAGTGTTCTTTGATACATTGGCAACACATTTTTGTGAACTGTTTAACTGGGGGTATTTTTAATACAGATCAACAAGATGTTAATGCCAGTTTCCAAAATGCTCACCATAGAAAGGGCAATGTTCCGTGAAAACTAATAACTAAAAATGCTTATGTGACAATAAATCTTTGTTCCATAGTACATACTGTATATTGATTGAACCACATTGAAGACATTTTATCATTAGCATTTGCTTCTCGCTGAAAACAAATTTTCATTTCAGCTATACAATTAACAAACATGTATCTCATACTAGCATGACTTTTACAATTTAGGGGAATAAAACTATAAGGGCAAAAAAGAGAAGTCTTTAGAAAGATCTGTTATGAATGACAATGCTCTTCATTGTTCTCCAGAAATGTTCACTGTCAACCTTTACTCTTAATAAAAGGTGGTGTTACTGTGAGATTGTCAGTAGAGAACATATTTTACGTATATTACATCTGCCAAACTTCAGAATAAAATGTCCATGCTTGATTTATCATCTCAAAAACCATTTCTTTGTTTTACGATTAGTTCTTGAATGAATTTACATGTACATGTCTGTTGAACAAACTCTTGACTACATAGGATGTAAAGTCAGTTGTATCCTTGATTATATCCTTGGTTGAACTGCTTAGACTCCAGACGCATGATAATACGTTCTAGTTGTCTCTTGGCTTCACATTGGGGGAAGTTGCTCATTTCGTAGTACTGGGGTGCAATCTGAATCAACCTAAAAACAAAGTTATGATAACATGTAAGAATGTGGACTTATAAAGCAATACCCAGAATAAAATTCAGGAAGAAATTATATACATAAGATACTTGCTTCAGTGACCAAAATTGAGTGTTTGGGTTTAAGTATATTTCTCTGTTTAATAATGAACACAGGAAAAGAACTTTTTGTTAATCTATACTGTCTTCAACCTAAGGGAAAGGTTTAAATTCAAAAGTTTGAGTCTCGGCTATCAATTTACCAATCAGGTTTGACATCTGTGACTGTTCTGATGTAGTTCTTTGTGGTCAGTACAAACTCATTGTATAGCACCCATTCAGGCTTGTGATCAAGGCAGGTAGATGGGTGAAGCTGGACAACCTGGTTGTCCTTGCAGCTCAAATAGTGACCAGTTCTTTCAAGGTGGGCAACCTATCGATAAAATTGAAAAAGAATACTTAAAAATATAAAAAGACTCAAAATCTAGTTATTACTCTGATCAAGGGCATTTATCTCTATCTCACAGACCTATTAAGTTCGTCGTCAATTACATCTCATTATCAAACAAATAAACCCCAAACTGATTTGGTTGTGCTAATGTAAGAGGGTAAATATTCTATTTTATGTTTAAAAAGGACTTCCTAATGAGAATATTATTCAACATAAAAAGGACTTCCTAATGTGAATATTATTCAAGTAAAGGTGCATTACAAAAACAGCATTTTCTATATTCAAAATGTAGACATGTAGCATCCTTGGGTTATGCTATAGGAGTATGCAGAACTCAAACAGCGACCAATAGAAAGCGGTATTATGTAGGCCCCAGTGTAACCAGCAGCCAACAGAAAAGGTGCGACAGGCTTTCAACAGGGCCATTATCAATGGCAAGAAAATATTAACAACACTAAGACTGGGATACTTTCTGAAAAGGGAAATAAAAATATTTTGAAATCTGACACTAACTTATCCCAAGTTGCATCAAAGAAGAGTACTATAAAATTAAATATATTGATATCTTTCTACAGGTACCTGCCTTAAGTCTTTACCTCTGCTCATTTTGTTCTGTTAAATATCATAAGAATTTCACACAATCTTTTACAGCATAAATTTCACAGACTAAACTTTAAACCTGTGCTTTCTTTTTACTTTGACAATATCAACCCACCTGCATAAAGAAGCCAGACACAAGTGCTTTCCTAATATTGACATAGTAGTCCCTGCTGGTAAAATCAGTACTGGTTCGTTTGAGGCTGAAACGGTCCATGATCCTAGCCAGCTGCTGACGCACATTGTCAGCACTCTTCAGTGAGCGGTAGTTGATGAAGTTGTCATAACACCACTGTGGATCCTCATGATCTGAATGATTAGAGTACTGCACATTACACTATTACTTTTTTTCAGTAGGAATTAATTAGACAAGACTAATTCCAACATCATAAGATCAATACTAATTCACTGTAGTAATTTCCTATGAAGTAATAGCCTTTATGTGGTAATTTCCTTACGTGAGATACAGCAATAACCTACAAATGTCAATTTCCTAACAAAATAAACAACAATCTATTACCAAGATATGTTTATTTCCTCACAATAAATATTTAACAGTAATCCCATCTAAACATTCTCCATCATTACTTCTACAAGAAAAGCTAAAAGGTTATTGTGTGGAGATAAGACTAGTGTGTGTATTTGTGTGCTGTTTGCATGTGTGTTCATATATGAATCTAAAGATTAAGTTTTATAGTTGAATTGGCACGAGACTTACTTTGCTTGAAGGCATGGTACACATTGAGCAGAGTCAGATGATCACCATCTATGTGGGCAAAGCGCATCTTGGCCTCATCTGCAGCCTTCCTCACCTCCGTAGGGCGGACGAAACACTGTGGGACTAAACACAGCATTGGGTCGGGGGCCAAGATGGTGGCCCCATTCCCACTCGGATTAATGCAACGGCCAACAATAAGACTACAAGGAAACTACACAATCAGGAATAGTGCCAAAACTGGAGGGCTTTTTAAAGTTCAATTTATAATTAAATGAATAGAACTGATTTGGAGAATTAACTACTTGCTGTTTAAATTCCAAAGAAGATTTTTTAAATATCAAACACGTTAACATTTAATCTGGTATCCCTCCAGTTTTTTTTTCTATACAGCTTAAACGTGGTTTAAGATATTTCTTTCAAATCTGATCTTTACAAAAATTAAAAAAGTATATTTACGTTTATACGCAGAGATGTGAATCAAGACTTTAAATACTACTGAGAAACAGGCAAACTGTACTTTAAAATAAGGCTCACAGTACTTTAACACAACCTTACTCAAATTATAATAAAAGAAACCACCATGTCACATTTTGATATTAATCCTAAGATTCACATCCCTGGAATTCTATCTTTACCTGATAACATGGCAGTGATGGACAAAATTTCATTGGAGCAGGTGAAGTCACAGCTGGCAATCACCATCTTTGCCAACTGAGGGTCCAGAGGAAACTCTGCCATCATGGATCCTAATTCTGTCAGCTCCCCATCATCATCTATGGCAGCAAGGTAGTTCAGCAGCTCAAGTGCTCTCATCAAAGTCTCTGGAGCTATAAAATAAATAAGACTACCTGAAGACCAGTTTTCTTTAAAAATACAAACTGGCAATATCACTTCACTTGTTACAGAATGCTAATATTAATCATGATGAGGTAGCATCCTACCTCTAGATCTACTTTCTTTTTTACAGAAATAAATTTAAGGTTATTAAGTTAACTATTTTTGAGGGTTATACCAAAATTACATTATAATGTTTTAAAATATAATTCTCATTTCATTGATCACCCCAAAACTACATTTCGTTATCAAACATTATAGGCCACTTGTCATCTTCTTCAGAAATAAATCGTGCATGATAACTTTTCAATTCATACCTGGAGGGTCCATAAAATCAAAGTGCACCAAGTCATCAATTCCCAGTTTCTTGAGCTGTAACACCACAGATCCCAAGTTGGAACGAAGGATCTCAGGGTAAGTGTTCTCCTGCATTTCTGACTTGTATGCTTTTTCTGTGTACAACCTGTAAGCCATTTCAACAGTATTAAAATGAGTTTATACTGATAAATGTTGTTAGTCTCTTAATCCTTCCCAATTATCTAAAACCAGAATTTTTGCATAAAATTCTCATTTATTTCTTAATACTACTTATATAATAGAAGCAGTTAAAAGTAAATCTGCTTAATTGAAAATAATAGTAATTCACACATTCATTATTTATTTATTATCCTGCAAGTGCATTTTTCTTACCTAAAACATTTTCCAGGCTTTGTCCTTCCTGCACGCCCAGCCCTCTGCTGTGCACTTGCCTTACTGATGGCTGTCACTAACAGGGACTCCACACGGATTCTGGGATTATACACCTGAAATATTGGTAAAAAGGTAAAGATGTAGATTTCATCACTGACACAAGTGCAACTGTCCTTACAGTGAGCAGCTGTTCTTTTCAGATCTGTTCAAAATGTACTGATCTGAAGACCACAAGTAAGTCACAAAAATCATCAGACACTTACAAAAAAGGGTTTTAGCCATATCAGGGTAAGCAAAGAAAAACATCTAAAATGAAGTCCAATGCACAAACACTTAGTTACCTTGCACTGCAGTACTCATAATGTCTAATTAATATTCTGCCAGGCCTATCATAAGTACTGAAAATACTTTAAAACATGTTAGTTTGACATAACATTGTATATACCTTTTGTTTTGCAAATCCTGGGTCAATCACAAACACAACCCCATCAATAGTAAGGGATGTCTCAGCAATGTTGGTTGAAACCACACATTTCCTGCCAATTGCACCATTGGGTCTCTTGGGGGGAGCAGGTTCAAAGATCCTCTGCTGCAGGTTGGGAGGAAGTGTTGAGTAAAGCGGAATGCACTTCATCTCGCCAACGTCTGGGCCCAAGTTTTCCACCTCTCGAGCAATTCTCTTACAGGCTTCTTCAATTTCCTAAGAACAAATAAAAGCATTATTTTCAAAATATTTCCTAATAATTTTTCTTCAAAGAAAATGTTAAATTCTTTAATCTTTTGACCTTCGCCTTATAGTATAGTTTTACTACATTTTTTGTTCTAACTCCAGATTAGATATACTGCAGACATTTACTGAAATTGATTAACAATGCTGATGTTAAAACTGATGTCTTCTCACCTCCTGACCAGTTAAGAACAACAGGATATCTCCCTCTTTCTCTTCACACATGTGAATCTGTATGACTGTACGTATTGCAGCCTCCAAGTAGTCTCTTTCTGGCTCAGGTGTGTAAAAAATCTCTACAGGGAATGTCCTTCCTGGGACACTCATAAGGGGTGCATGGTTGAAATAATCCTACGGGTAATAAAAAAAAAAGGAGTAAAATTAAATGAATTCATAGGTATGGTCTGTGGACACTAGTCTGTGTGGGACAGTAAGCCAAAATGAAATTACAACTCTTTTAGATAATTATCAATTTTAATCATTAAAATAGTAAGTTAATGTTGGTTATCTCAATATTAGCGATATATCAACCTTCAAGCAATTTCCCTTAAAACATTGACTTACACAAGTATGTCAGATATCATCAAATCTGATTATCATTTCCATAAAAATATAAAACTTATCTCATACCTGAAATTTTCCAGCATCCAGTGTAGCACTCATGATCAGGACTTTTAAGTCTGCCCTCTGCTTGGCTACCTCCTTCAGCAGACCCATTAGGATGTCTGTGGCCAATGTACGTTCATGAGCTTCATCAAGTATAATAACACCATAGCCTTCTAATAAAGGGTCTGACATGGCTTCTCGTAGCAACATACCATCAGTCATGTATCTGAAATAGCATTGTGAGAAGAGTTTAGACACTGATGAAAGGATACACATATATAAGAGCCCTTAAAACAGACTTCAAACATCCTAACATACTTTGCTAAGAGAACACATTGTAGATTTACAAAGTATGGAATACTTGTGTAAATCAACACCCAAATGCCAGGAGGGTAAATACCAGACTAGAAAATTATTCAAACAGTAGGCACTAGATTAGCAAGTGGTACAATAAATATATCATAAGTAAGAACCAATGGAAATAAACTAAAATAAATGAAAATGCTTGCTTCATCCCTATTATCATCCCTTCCCTGTACTTACTTCAACAATGTGTTTGATGATGTGCAGTCCTCAAAACGGATGCTATAACCCACTTGCTGTCCCAGACCAACATCCATTTCTTCTGACACTCTCTGGGCTACTGACATGGCTGCCACCCTCCTTGGCTGTGTGCAGGCCACACCCTTCTTACCCTGGTGCTTCACCCTGACCCACTCCAAACACCACTGGGGAATCTGAGGAAGATAGTAATGCTCATATTAAATGGAGCACAATTTTTAGGTTTACATATATTTTAAGACTGTAAAAGAAGCTATGTTTTCTCCATCATTATATATCAACAGCAACATTTTTATATAAAACCAACACATCTATAATATAAGATGTAAAGATGCCTCATGCTACAAGGATTATCTTTTTCTCATATCAGAACAACCAGTCAACTATGAATTTTTCAGTAATCAATAATCTCAATAAAAGAATACTTGAATCCCGATCATTTACCTGTGTAGTTTTTCCAGATCCTGTTTCACCTACCAACACTGTGGTCTGATTGTTGGTAAGTGATTCTAGGAAACTACTCTTGTACTCCCACACTGGCAAAGTTACTCTTTTTCTAAGGAGCTCATAATATTTAGGTGTGTGTGGTAAACCTGAAAAGGATACCATTCTTCATAAAACAATTGCAGACTACATCTACTAAGTATTAACATATATGATAGTTAGGTTCAAAATACATCTTCAATCAGCAGTCTCTGGTATCTTTTTTCATCACTTTTACCTGAAACTATAAATGTCATTGAAGAAAGCATTGTTGATAGAAGAAACTTTAATTTTCTGTAATTTATGTTTTCTTTTTACTTTACTTTTTTCTTTTGGTCTACACCACTAACCTGTGAAAGGGTTAAGGTTCATATTAACACCAACTCCTGGCATCATATTAGGGGTACTAACACTGGCTGCTGCAGGCACTGTTGTTGAGGCTGCTGAGGATGATTTTTCATCTTTACCACGGTCTCTGTCACGATCTCGGTCTCTGTCTTTTCTGTAATCATCATCCCTATAATAATATAACAAAAAGTTCAAACATTGCAATTCAATTGATTATAAATATACTGACACAAAGAAAACCATGGCCCACAATTGGATGTCATCTACCCAAACCTGAGATGATTTATTGGTAGGCTTAATAATCATACTCTATTAGACAGACAATCTGTTTATTATATTATGTCAAGCCAAGCAAGTTTTCATATCAGGAGCAATTCATGTTCTGCTCACATTTCTACGGAAACCCTGGCTGATTTTGATTAACAACAGAATAGGTTTTCACTGTCTACTGCGTTATGACGAGAAGAAATAAACCGGTTTCAAACTCTTTCATTGTATCATCAATAGTCCAGTGTAATGGGCTACATAAATCGTTTTGTTTCGACCGATTAAACCCTTAAATAAATGGCATCACGATGGTTTTCACTTCGGTTTGGGGTTGTTGGTGCAAGTTATACTGTAGTCGGTGCATGAGCCAACTGCAATACTTTAAGATAATAATCACTGTAACTGTCGGCATTTCACTTTCATTTTTTATCAACGTTTCAACTTACACTTCTTTGCGTCTTTCATGAATCACAAAGTTAATGAAAATCATCAATACTACAAATATCATAGCAGTTTCTTGTAAAACAAAAATTACTAAACTGAACGAGAGGGTTATCTTTGAATTTTATTTCGCACAATAACTGTGTATCTCATATCCTACCTTCCCCTTTTCGACGCATAATCACCAACGTCGATTCGATGCCGCTTCGACATTTTCTCTGTGATGGCGTATGAACCTTATTCCTTACAATACGATTTGCAATCGTTTCCGGAAACGTACATAAGACGTTACAGATTTGAAAACGAGGGTTTTAATAATTTGGGTATAGGGTAAATTTTAATAACCCGTATGAGCACATGTGCCTTCCACTGTAAACATGAACGAAGCAGACGAAGAAGGGAAATTACTCAAATTCCATGATATGGGCCTCGATGACAGACTTCAAAAGGTATTATACGCCGTTTTTGTAAACAGTTATGAAGATTATTACAATATACGTATAGCTTCAATTATAAACTTAAATATACCTGCCAACACACTAGGGCAGGTCCAGTCCCATTCGATCACAATCACGTACACTGATCGACACATGTACCGGTGGCTACATGTAATACAGGCTTCGGTGGCTTCACATTGTGTGATAGTAGTGTATAAGTTACGACGTATTTCAGTACAAGTGGAGGGGTTTTGTGTGTGTATATGTGTACGTGTGTGTGTGTGTGTGTGTGTGGTCGGGAGTCGTGATTTCAGGACGTACAACAGATGGCAAGGCAAGTTCCTATAGTACCAAAAATGCCTACCTAAGAGTCCTTGAATTTATAATTATCACCTGATCTGCTTATGCAGCGTAGCACTTAGAGGCATGTAGCCGTTGATATGCAGTATGTTACAATTTTCACATTGAAACTTTTTGGGAAGAAATTATATTTAGATATATTATCTTGAAGGCTATAGCAAAACTTGGTTGGTCCAAGCCCACCCTTATTCAGGAGCGTGCAATACCGCTGTCTCTGGAAGGAAAGGACATTCTAGCCAGAGCAAGAACTGGCTCAGGGAAAACAGCAGCTTTTGCTATTCCTGTTATACAGAAAATTTTGGACTCAAAACAGGTATTAGTGTAAATAGAGAAGCCTTTGAATATTTTTTTAGATATTTTAGATATGCAAAAGTTTGGAAGATATAGATAAAACTATGGTAATTATGTATAAAATTNTTCACATTGTGTGATAGTAGTGTATAAGTTACGACGTATTTCAGTACAAGTGGAGGGGTTTTGTGTGTGTATATGTGTACGTGTGTGTGTGTGTGTGTGTGTGGTCGGGAGTCGTGATTTCAGGACGTACAACAGATGGCAAGGCAAGTTCCTATAGTACCAAAAATGCCTACCTAAGAGTCCTTGAATTTATAATTATCACCTGATCTGCTTATGCAGCGTAGCACTTAGAGGCATGTAGCCGTTGATATGCAGTATGTTACAATTTTCACATTGAAACTTTTTGGGAAGAAATTATATTTAGATATATTATCTTGAAGGCTATAGCAAAACTTGGTTGGTCCAAGCCCACCCTTATTCAGGAGCGTGCAATACCGCTGTCTCTGGAAGGAAAGGACATTCTAGCCAGAGCAAGAACTGGCTCAGGGAAAACAGCAGCTTTTGCTATTCCTGTTATACAGAAAATTTTGGACTCAAAACAGGTATTAGTGTAAATAGAGAAGCCTTTGAATATTTTTTTAGATATTTTAGATATGCAAAAGTTTGGAAGATATAGATAAAACTATGGTAATTATGGATAAAATTAACTTAAATTTGCTCTTTCCCTGTGAAAGTATTTTTTAAGGTATGTTGAATATTGGGAGCATTTGTTATAATTATTGTTCATACCTTTCAGCATGCCAAGGAACAGTCAGTGAAAGCACTGGTCATCACACCTTCTAAGGAATTGTGTAGTCAGGCTTACAAGAATGTTATTGTGAGTTTGTTATTCAGTTATGGAGTTATGAAATCCTGCTGTTTTTAAAATAAATCAGAGGTTTGTGCTCTTTTTGCCTGATGAAGTTGGTTAATTTATTGTTAAGTAAAATTCCAAAGTTTTCTATTTAGAGTCTGGTCCAACTCTTCAGGATATATATAATTGACAGAGCATGTTCTGTATTCTTTTAGGACCTGACAAGTAGCTGTTCAAGAGAAGTCAAATGTGTGGATATATCAGGTCAAGTGGCATTAGATGCTCAAAGGTGAGTTAAGATATTTATTGTTTGTAAGTCTTTGTTATCTGTCATGATGATCTGAAACAATTTCATAAAAAGGATTCATATTATACAGTTTACTTGAGACTGTTCACAATCATTTTAAAATCTAGATTTGAGGGTTTTTAGAGGTGTTTGATCTTTACTTTCATAGACCATTGCTTATGGAAAAGCCAGACATTGTTATAGGAACACCAAGCAGAATCCTGGCCCATATCCAGGCTAAAAACCTGTACCTTAAGGAATCTCTAGACATGGTGGTCATAGATGAGGCAGACCTGGTCTTCTCCTTTGGTTATGAAGCAGATATTAAAACATTGCTCAGGTGTGTATACATTAATTTTTAAGGTGTAAATAAAATTATGTTCTATTTTTAATGAAGGTGAAGCTATAACATACTTAACAAAGATAAACTTATCAAATTTTATTTACAGATATATAAATAAGGAAATTTATGTCAAATGTTAGTCACATTTAATCCTTTTTTTTCTGTGAATGACAGCCCTTACAAGATGCTTAAACTAATATTTACAATTTCAGTCACTTACCCAAAATTTACCAGGCATTTCTGATGTCAGCTACGTTGAGTGAAGATGTCAGGACACTGAAGAAATTGGTGCTACATAATCCTGTAAGTATTTATGATTAATAGTTTTGACTCATAATCATTGTCATAGAGTCTTATATTTGTTTGTGCATGGAGATACTTACTGAGCGTCTGATATTTATTAACTCTTTAATACATTGTAATGCTCAGAGTTTTAGTGCATTTCTTCATTTATGTAAATATAACCATTCTAGGTGATACTAAAACTGGAAGAGTCACAGCTCCCAGAAACAAACCAGCTTACCCAATACCATATTAAGTAAGTAGTAATAACCAGCAAATCTGTGCTCCCAATTTTTTAGTGGAGTGGGAAATTTTATGGGTTCTCAAATTTTTTTACTTGAGTGGAGAACCAGGGTGCAGCTAAACATTCACATCATGTACTCTATTCTTAGATTGATGTTAAATGCAAATGTACAGCTGCTCTTTTGGCCTGTATTTATTGAATTTAGTATGACTGTCATTCTTTGCTAGTGGTTACAAAATGTTGAATTTGACCGAAAATTTCAAACTTTATCTGGGAAGCTGTAATTTTGCAATGTGATAGCTACACCATCACAGTTCACCATTTCATCAAAAGGGAAACAGCAGATGCCCTTGTCAGGGCACACAAGAGAGTTGAACAGCTATACCCTCCAAATCCAAGACGCGTTACATGGGAAATATATTTGACACTAAAACTAATGAAAATCTAGTGGAATATTTTAGTTTTAGTCTAAATCATAAGGGGGTGTTGTCTCAATGCTTTAAAACTGGTTTTGCAGAATTCTATCCACATTTCATTATTGATAAAACTTGTGAATATGTCTGACACGGTAAAGTTAGTGACGCGGGAACAGAAACTTTTTATAATCATGTAAATAATAACAATATTTTTGCTATTAACCACATATACTTCAAGCATGAGAGGAACATCACTTTCACACACTTTTAAAGTGGAATTGACAAACACAGAGGAATAACGCACATATTTTTGTTTACTGTAACTCTGTTACATGGGACACACACTGAACAAAGTTGATCTAAAGAATGTTCCAGAGTGTACAATACAAGGAATCTTTTTACTCTGATAACGAAAAAATGGGTAACCTAAGTTTAAGACTGGATTCCCATACTTAGATCGATCCATCTGAATTTTGACAGTCTATACTCAACTTTTCATTTTATACTTATATGTATAAATATGACAATAAATAGTTTTGCTGTCATGGTTTAACACTATGGATATTGTAAAACAAGCACTTTTCATTTTTGCCTCCTGTTGACTTTCAAGCTGACTTCTTTCCAGTCTTCAACAAAGGACTTGTTTGTACACTCGCCTTCAAGTGTCACACATGCTTCACAGAAGCAGGATCGCTCCTTATAGCTCACAATAAATGGAGAGTGGCCCCGGACACAGTGCAACTTCCTAGTTCCAGGGATGCCCTTGCCTCCTGTTCTATCTGGCCTGTCTCTCACAATTGTACCTTCTCGAACAAAGAAGAACTGACGACAGGTGTGAGAGTGTGAATTGTCTGCTGGTTTTGTCAGACTGCTGCAACCATACTCGTATAAGTCTTGGGCTGTAGCAATGATGCACTTTCTGCGAAGCACTGCCTGTCTTGCTAAACGCTTTACAACTCCAATTTCTCTGTCACATGGCCCCTTGCCATGGCGGCTGCCAAAAAAGTGCTTCTCTGTTGGGATGCCTGTGTCATCTTTGGCAAATGACAAATCAATGAAACTGGCTTTGCCCTTGTACTGGCTGGGGCATCCATCACTGAAGTGGATAATCTGTGTGACGTTTATTCCACGCTCCAGGAGTGTCTGCAGCGCCTGTTGCTGAAAGTGCTGCACCCCATGGCTGTCATGTTTTAGGTCATTGGAGATGAAACAAAATGTCTCCTGTGTCGTGACCTCAGGGTGATCGGGGCATCTGTAATAGCATACAACAGGATGGATGGTGATCTGCTGTCTGCTCCAGTGGGCTCCCTGTGCCTCATCTTGATAGGCACAAGTGAAGTTCTCTCCGTAGTCCATGCACATTACCAGCCATCTGGTTGGAACATCCCTTGTCAGCTTGTCAAACTGCCTCTGTTGCCACTGATAATTTGCCAAGTGCCATGCAAAAGTATGCAGGTCTTCTTCAAGTTCAGCAATGAGCTGCGAGAATGGGCCATCAATCTTTACAAGCACCTGCTTGTTGGTTGTCACTTCCGTCCCTTGCTTATTCTTGTAAGTAGACTTTTCAGACCGCCATGCAGACCATGTTGTTTGAGTGTCAGACAGGTTATCCAGCATAGGCACCATAACCTCATGAAACTTACTGATGCCACAGTTTTCACATTCTCTGTCGATGCAGGCCTTGTTGTGAAGATGAAGTACTGGATTTGGCGCACAGCAAGTCATGTCAGCAATTGCAAACTTGCTTCCGAGAAACATCTCACCATGGCCTGCAGTCTGAAGCACTGAATTGACTGCTTTTTTTTTTAGAGTAATGTTTTCACAGTATTCACAGCAGCAAGTCTTGAACCTGTCTTTTGCCATGCACTTGGTGTGTTTTGGGCGGAAGCAGCAGAACTTGGAGTATGATATGCTTGTAGAAGTCTCTTCTTTGAATTGGACCCACGCCTCCTTCATAGTTTTACACATGTATCTGCGAGGCTGCTGATCCTTGGCACCTACATTTCTGGCAGCTGGTTCTTCCCTTGCAAATGTCACCACGATTTAGAAAGTTTTGAATGATTTGAATAAGTTCCGCTGGTACTGCATCTGACCTTTTCTTAGGAGAAATTGGCTGGTCAAGGTCAAGCTGATAGAGGCATTTTCTTACATAGTTCCAACTGACATTCAGCATTTTGCGAAGATCTGCTATTTTCATTCCTCTGTTGCAGTCTAGGAAGAAGCGGCAGTAGTCTGCTTTTGTTTGAAGTTTTGCTTTCTTTCTACTCGCCTTGGTCTCCTTAAACTTATTCTGCATTTCTTTGTGGTAGTTTTCTCTGGCCTGCATGCCTTTTCTTTCTTTAGTAATGTACAGCCCTTTCGAATCCAGCGCCTCTCTCCTTCTTGGTGAGGTAACATTGATAAGGAACTCTGCAACATCGGCATACTTGGAAGGTGATTTTGGCATGACCTGTTTCACTCTCCTGACAGCTTTTGCCTTAGTGCTTCGGTTTAGGAATCCTTTTGATGAGGCAGGTTTAACATATTCATTTTCTTTGTTTGCTGGCTTGGACATAGTTTCCAAAACTGCTGCATCTGTTTTAGTATGCACCCTCTTGCGTCTTTTCAAGTTGATTGCAGCTCTCTTCTGAGGGGTCAAAGCAGATCTATACTTTCTTTTTCTTTCTCTTTCTTTTTTTCGCTTTGCTGCTAACGAAGATCTTGTATTAACAGTTGGATTGGCATTTACTGGTTCTCCTTTCTCTTTTTTTTCTGGCGGTATTTTTGTGTCCGAAGCCTATTCTTTTCATTGTCTGCTTTTTTCTTTTCCTCAGACCTGTTAGCCCTGTATTCTTTTGCCTTTTTTCTCTGTTTTTCTAGGTATTTGGCATAATGTCCCTCTGCCTGTAACTTCTCTCTATATCTGCGCATTCTCTTGCAGAAGGTGTAATGTTATCACTCGTGCCAGGTGAGGCCAATGGTGCCACTGATGTTTGGCGATCAATGTCTGAGTATATGCGCCTTTTTCTGTTGTACAATCTGGCTGAAACTCTGAGTGGGGTCTTGTCAGGCTCAGCTAAAATAGTCATAGAAAGGAATAATAAATATTATAATATAATGCAAAAATAGACAGTCATGAAACACAAGTTAAACTGGGGATATTGCATTTATTTTACATTCAGTTATTAATATATTATACACATCCCTCATTGGAGAGCTAAAGGTAGAGTTTAAGACTGGTACTGGTGGAAAAGAAAGTAAAAAACTATGGCATGAAATAAAAAAGCAGCATGAAATCTTACCTGAACTACAGTTGTCCTCAGCCATCATTGGGGGTATGCTTGTATGGATTCAGCTTGGAGTTGAAAAAATACTACCTGTGAAAAGATTTTTAGGCTTGTAAAAATTCATACTAAAAGTGAAAAAAATGAAAGATAAAAATGCATTACCTAAAAATAAAATTCATTTAAAATCTTTCCTTATGTGTCTTGTGAAAAAAGTGATCAAACGTATCTCAGCATACATTAATGCTCATTGCAATGCTTTTCACAGCATTTTGGTTTAAATATATCTAATAATATAGACAGCTACTGCATTTCTTCATAATCCAGAGTTGCTTATTCAAACAATGTACAGTGCATTATGAGCGACAAACACGCATTACTGGGGCACGTTTTCTTCACCCATTTTTCAATTTGCTTCAATGTGTCCCTGTTACGTAATGGCGCGAGAAATTCATTTTTGCTGTTTTTTACAGACGGTTAAATTCTTAACGCACTGAATACTTCGTAGCAGCTTTATTTAAGACAAAACTAAAAAATATCATTCAATATCAATAATACTGAGTTTTCGAGAACAAGAAAACATGAATAAGGCATCACCGCTGAACCATGGGACGCAGACGAAAAACGAAAGTTCAGTCGAAGTCACCCTACTAATCGGATGGTAAGAATTAATCAATACACATATATGTTGAAACAATTGAAGAAAAATGAAACGAAACTCAGTATTTCTCACCTTCATACAAGGAAGATCTTTATAGCAGTCCCGTGGCGGTTAAATTTAGGAAATTAAAGGCGTGCCCCCGCATCCGGCCTCGACAGCGTCTCTGCATCACTTGTTATCAGAATGGGCCACCCGCCAGTTTGAGCTGTTTTTTTAGTGTGTAAAAGAAGCCATTCGTGTGTAAGACGTCATCAGTTAGTGAGTATGGAAGAAGATCGCTATCGATGTATAATTTTCACGCGGCATTTTAAAGTCGTCTGATAAGAATCGATCTCTGAAGTTTCAGCGTTGCGAACGTATCATTGGGACGCGGTGAAGAAAAATCGACCTTGCTGAGCAATAAATGTGAAATTCTTAAGAAAACTGATATTATCATGGATTTCGTGACACAAACTAACCGACATACTGCCTTGGACGATTGAACAGTTTTAATACGGAAAGATAGGATTAGATGGAATTTTCATCGGGGTGGGACACCGCATGTATCGTTAGTTAAGCTAATTTTGTGATCATTTTTCAGTGACTTCAAATAAATCTTTATTTAAATAACCATTTGCACATTCTGTTTATTATATCTTCTTGCAGTAGGTGTATTCCCTGCTTCAATAATTCATTCAAACCCTAAACAAACTGTTCCTAAATAGAGGTAGGGTCGAAATTCCACAAAAAAG